GCAACCCCGTTCCCAGTATTCCATCATTCCCCATCTGGTGCAACCCCGTTCTCCATCTTCCATACAAATTTCCCGAGTTTTTTTTCCCGAAATTCTTCAGTTTTCCCCCGAAAACTCGTTGTTAACGAATGTGAGAAAGAGAGTTATATAGCGCGCCCAGAACAGAAAAAATCCAACAATCGGAAAAAGATTTCTTCAGACTAAATACTGACTAAATACAGCCCCACCCCCGCCATCCTTCCAGCGACCAAATACGCTCCGCTTCGCTGGAAGTCCTCGGCGTACGACATGCCCTGACCACTTGAGCTGTCAAAGGGGAAGCGAAGATCAGAAGAGAAAGATGAAACAAAGAACTCTTTATTGGAACATAATCTATCTATGATGAATCTCTTCAAGATGATTTTCTTTGATAATTTAAAATTCTTCTTTACAAGAAAAAAACAAACCCGTTTCTATCAACATCGCATAGACACGATTGGGAAGGCAACATAATTATCACAACAGAACAGAATCACAAAACGGACCTGCCAACGAGGTATTAATAGATTATGTGTAAATCTCTCTAAGGCGAAGAACAATAGAATATTAGAACATATGAACTAATCCAATATGGTTACCGGGATTATGGGGGGTGTTCTCTGTGAGAAACAAAATAATGGAGCTATGCATGGCATAGCAAATAGGGGCAAGCGCTGGCTGGCTGGCTGGCATAATTCCAACGGGCTAAAATCCTGCAACATCGGACTGTGATTGATGAGCACTGTAGAGCTCACGAATTGCTTTTAGCAAATGATTGAATGGTTTGTCGATGAATGTTCGACGAAAATAGTACTCGTAGGCGAATGGCTCGGCTGGCAACGGTTGCACCGATTCCATCAGCGTCTTCATGAACTGCCTGGAATACCACCATATATGTTAAAAAAAAGATAAATTCCAATGAACCGAAGCAGTTTGAAAGAGGGCTGACGGCGGAAGGGTTGGGGTTACATTCAGGCGCTAACATTTTTGGGAGGGGGGGGGGAGAGAACACTTACCCGCGCTTGCTTTCCCTTCCTCTAACGCTTAGGCTCAACGAAGACTATGCTTGTCTTCTCTGTATGACAGCCATTCGGATAGAGCCAAGATAGACTGATAGATGTCTGCGTTCTCACCTTTTTGAGGGTAGGGGTTCTTTCAACAGGACGTTCTCTCCCTACAAAGGTTCAGAGCTATATTCTCGCGGCACTTGCTGGCTGAGCAGTCAAGGGGAGGAAAACAATGAAGAGAAGGAAGGAGGGAAAAGGGAAGAGGGAGGCTCCGCGGTTGACAGGTATTGGACTTTGGGAAGGGCCGCAGAACCAGGTGGAAGTAACAGAATGGAAGTAATCCCCTCCCCTCCCCGGAGCAACTTCGTAAATGGCCATGTTCCCACCTTGCGACACCCAAGGTAGGAGAATCCGTGAAGAATAGATAAGTATCGACTGAAGTCGTCAAAAGGAAGAATCAGGAGCAGCAAGTCGACATCCGGTTCTCCTGCTGCGCAAGGTATAAACGCTACCTCAGTACGATGCGGACAGGATTCCCTACTAGTACAACTGAACTGTGAGTCCCCTCCCCTACTAGGCGAAACCACTTGTGTCGCACTGGTGAGAGTTCTCGAGGAGGCAGCTGAACAATCATCGGAACTTTCATAGCAGTATCAGCTGAACAATCATCGGAACTTTCATAGCAGTATCAAATCCACTATCGATTTCTATACTTATTTCTGCCCTACAAAATTTTTTTATTTCTCCAGGGTTCATTGATTAGTACCAAGCTTGTTAGGGAGGATAGAAGTATGGATTATACATGAGGCGTCCCTTGGGAGATCATGGTGTAGGGCAAACAGGATACTCCTAGTGCGATTTTTAATTGCATTTTAATGCATGAAACATCCGAAAGGCGCTAATTAAAATGGATACGTGACCGCTTGAACTTTTTTAAGGGCCTCGCCATGAAAGGAGTGGGCGCGAATAGATACAAGGGCACAGCTGATTGCCCGCTGAAGAGCACGAAAGGACATATAACAAATCGACTGAACCCTTTGAGGGGACAGGGAGCTGAGGGGTACTGTTGGACGATTGGTGTCTGTGGCTGGAGTCCGCCAGTCAGGACAAGTCCTGTCGTTGGGTACAGGTAGGAGTTTAGCAAAATGCACTTCTCTTCAGAAGTTCCTCCCTGTGACTCTTCCCTCCTCAGCCCCCATGACCCGCCATCTTCCTAGGTTTTTCCCAGTTCCCACCTTTTCCATGGTTTTTTTTTCCGAATTTCTCCGCTTCCACCCAACGTGCGACGTGCCCTGCTTCCAGCGACATGAGCGACCAGGAACCCATTTAAAAGTTTTAATTAATGCCTACTTGTCTCGTTCTTCTTCGTCCATATCACACCAAACATCAGCAATCGTCTTCAGGGTGTGGTTTTCCAACATTGCGTTGAGCTAAAAACGCCTTTTTACAGCCGTAGGGCATTTTTCCCTCTTTTCTTTAATTTCACTAACCTCCTCTTTTTCTCCGAATCGCTTCATGAGTAAATCGCGCATAACGATCGTCGAACCGTCCTTCACATTCTTTTCAACGGTTTTCACAAGTGTGTTCGGCAAAAACTGGAATTCGTCAAGTATAATTTCACCTAACTATATATTTACTGCTACAGTATTGATTACCTGTCGATCGGGTAATTCCACAGTAACAATCTCGTTGGTATTCCAGCAAATCAGCACTAATCGCATAGAAAAACGACGTTCTCGTCGGCTTCTGTGCTTTGCCGAAACGTCCTCGGTATGTAAGGTTTCGAGGAGTTCAACGATGTGACCTTTACCCCCGATTGGTACCGTTGACGATTGAAGTAGGCACCTAAATAGTGGTGGCGATAAGGTGAAGGTCTAAATTGATGTGGCACGTTCTACTCTGGCGATTCCCGGCGAAGGGGGTCGTATTAGGGCTAGAGGAGAGGGAAGGCGTATAAGCCTTTAAGGAAAATGTTTCGGTCGTTGAATTTGCCGGATTTTCCTGTTTCAAATGCGTGATACCCTCCCCCCCCCCCCGGCTTGACGCCAGCTTTTCTGAAAGAAAAGTCGGAATTTGTGAAAGGATGCGTAACGATGGGGTAGGAAGTTGGGAAAATTTAGCAAGATGGGAGATGGAGGGAGGGATGGGGAAGGGGTGGGGCGCACTAGAGAAGGTTCCCCAACGGCAGGAGTGCCCTGGTTTGGAGGGCTACTTACCAGCTCTGAATGTGATCCCGAATGAACCCGATTGTGTTGTGAATCGTCTCTTCGACCAGTCGGAACTCTCCCAGAAGGCGATTGTACTCAGAAGCAGTATATCCAGCGTTTTCACACCATACAAGCATAAATATGAAGAACTGACAACAATTGAGGATTGGGAGGGAGGCAAATTCACCGAGTCACAATAAACTGTGTTGTTCCGGGAAGATGCGACACTTTGGTGCAATAGTTCGTCGGGTTACAGTAATCAAAGTTTTACACAAGTGGTTCTTTAGAGCCACGAAAGTGGTGGGCTTCGTTTTCTTCGCCTTTTTTCGAGTCCTCCAAATGTAAGGTGGCATCTGGTGCTGCTGAGGGTGCTGAGAGTGATTGCTGGGCCAAGGGGGGTCTAAGTGGCGTTCATCTGTCATTGTTTGCTGCGGTATAGCATAGAACGGTCAGGGGGGCGAACCACCAACCTCTTGAGAGCGAGCAAGCGCAACAGCTTGGTAGAAGCGGGCTGGCGCTGTGGCGAGCCCAATCCCTTGATACGCCCCTACGCCAGCAGCGAACGAGACTGCAATTCCTCTGTGGGCAGGCTATGGCGAAGCGATATCCTGTCTGAAACTAGGTGGGTATTACGTTTTCTGAATTCCAGTAATAGAGGAAAAGGCGCAGTTTGGCTTGGGAAGGGCACCAAATGGTACTTAGGGAAGCTAGTTCAGGCTACTTTGTGGATAATTAATTCCTGTAACCAAAGTGGCTCTCTTGCAGGCACCGCCTCACAGCCTTACAGGCGTTAACGGGTCTCAACAAAGTGTAACCTGTTAATTAAAATAAACTAGCAGAAGAAACCAACGAAAATGCAAAATGTCCCTCACAAGCCAAACAGCGCCGAAAAATGTCAGCCGTGGTCTCTAATGCCATGGTTGCTCTGCACAAAAATACCGTATACCCTTATTGAAGTACCGCCCAGCAATTTGTCGGTTGGATAACTGACCTTATTCATTGGCATCCGAGAAAAGAAGAGGAATGTGCCTTCATAGACAGAAATCTTTGTTATAACACGCCGTTCTCGCCGTTTCCTACATGAGCGACACCTCCACTGAAACATATCGACAATTAGCCTTCTTTAGGCAGAAATAAGGCCTAAAAAACCCTAACGTACCACAAATCCATTTGCATGTTTAATAAGGCTCATCAACTGCTCCTTGGGACAGCTTTCAATTTTGCACTCTCTCGTGTTGGGAATAATTCCATATCGAGCCAGAAATTGAATACTGAAAACAATTAGCCGATGTTTGATTGATCACAATTATCGGGTTTTTTTTTGGTGACGAATGGTGAGAATCGACAAACCCGCACCCTACACGGGAATCGCGGAATATCCTCTGAAGTAGGTCAGCGTCAAAGTCAATGTCGAGAATTTCATCCGGTTCAGCAACGGATGTGCCGTCGAGAATCGTAAATTTACCTCGTTCTGGCCGACTTCTGTAAATACTGAAATAGATTTTTTTGGCGAAGTTCAGTTTGGTTGGAAGGGGGGGGGGCATCTTGCACACTGATTACCTCCCATCGTCATGCAGCCATAAAGTGAAGATTTGTGGAATCTTGTGAAGCCATGAAGTGATACCAGTCAAGGTTTGTAGAAACTACTTGTCAGCTCTTGTAAAACAATGAACACAACGATGAGAAGTAACGAAAGTGCAGAATGCCCCCTCCCTTCCCACCAAACTGAACTGCGTCGATTTTTCATTAGTTGTGATAATTTTTGAATCGAGAACGGAGAGGGAAAATGTCGAAGGAATGAAATGGCAGATAGAGGGGGTAGTTGGGATATTACGGACATTTCCCAGGTCACTTATTACATAGAGGGATAGAGCAGCGTGGGCCACTCGGGACAGCTGGTAAGATTTCATGGGAGGCAAACTTAGAGGTAAAGA